GCAAGCTTTCGACACCCTTAAGCACGCTYTAATTTCTGCACCTATTTTGGCATATCCTAATTTCAACCTACCTTTTCAACTTCATGTAGACGCCAGTGATACAGCCATTGGCTTTGTACTGTCACAGGTACAAGACAATAAAGAAGTTGCCATTGCCTATGGTGGTAGAGATCTCAATCCTGCAGAAAGGAACTATAGTGCTACTGAAAGAGAGGCCCTTGGAGTGGTTTACGCCATTAAAAGGAATCACCCTTATTTGCACAATAAGCGCTTCACAGTAATAACAGATCATGCCGCHCTCGCGTGGTTGATGAAATTSAAAGATCCAACTGGACGACTCGCTCGATGGTCCCTCTTATTACAAATGTACGACTGCCATAGACCAGGAATCAAGAACGGAAATGCCTTGTCCCGTAGACCTTATGCTGACATTAATACCTGTGATCCTCCGTCTTCTGCGATGACCAGAGTTTTGACTAGTCAGTCCCGAGATAAGGATCTGTATCCAATTATACGTTATTTACAGTTTGATGAGATTCCTGAGAATGATGAAGATGCACAGAAGTTCCTCTTAGAAGTAGAGAATTATGTGCTTGATGACAATGGTTTACTTTACCACGTTAGTTTACCGCCTCCTCGTACCAAACAAGAACCTGYRGTACAACTYGTCGTACCTCGAGATCTTCGTCATGAAATTATTTTCCATTGCCATGATAGTCCTTTGGCTGGTCATTTTGGTTTACAGAAACCCTATGACAAAATAAGAGCTCGTTACTTTTGGAAAGATATGTATCGTGATTGCGAAGTTTGGATTAGATCATGTGTTGACTGTTCTATGAAGAAATCTCCTCGCACCTCCAAAACACCAATTTGTCTTCCTATTCCRGTCAGCGRTGCATTTGATCGMTTRGCAGTTGACGCAGTCGGACCTCTTCCTGAAACGTAYGCAGGCWATCGYTATCTTATTGTATTCACYGACTACTTGACTCKTTGGCCTGAAGCATTTCCAGTCAAAACCATTG